AAGCTGCTTAGCAAACCTCATAAATATGTGCACATTTAAACTGTTACCTGATGTTAATGAACACATTTGCATGCTAGTTATCAAATTGTACAGAAGTAGAAAAAATAGTCACATGAACATCATATAACAATTCAGACAAAGTGTAGGAGAAGTCAGCCTTATGGAAATAGAAATAAAACCCGGGGGTGTTATTTTAATGGAATGTACAATCACAGTGTTTCAAACAATCTGGATCCTTCACAAAACTGATCCAAAGACAATGAAAGAAAGAGAATTGGAACAGAGAATGAAACTGTGAAGAATGTTCTCAGAAGAATTTATAGGTGAGGGGCTGCAACCCATGAAACATGAAGGAGTTAACACTAAAGTTGGAGGCATGCAGCAGCTTTAGGCATTGAGAAACAAGCTTACAGAAGGTAGGGGAATGTGAAATGAATGGAGAAATCATGACAACAGATCTCAAATAAAACATTTCCCGCTCTTCCACTTCTAGCTAAAACATTTTGAGTGCATCTGGCATAATAGTTATGCTGACAATTTTGTTTTACTGCAGTTAAGCCTTAATTTGTGGTTCTTACAAATATATAAATATATACTAAAAAATAGGCAGGTTTTGAAACACTAAGGTTCCTTGTGAAATACAAGAGCATAAACAACCTCACGTTGCCCGAATAGTCGTTTGACCTGGAATCCCAGTTCAGTCACAACAATAAACAGTGAGGAGGAAGGAAGAGCTGACCTCAAGGACGGACAGACCTGTGAGTGTGAAAGAGAAAGTTCCTCTCTTGTGAGTCCTGGGGCACATTTCAGTTCTGTCCCTTGGCTTCCTCCCCATTTCACAAACAACACCATCAGAGACGCCTCAGCATAAAAAAGCACTTCTCATGAAACCTGCGATGTACATTGAAAAAGTGTTGGGACAGTGAACTGAAAATGGTTATTTTTTCTGTGTACTAATGACATTTGAATTTTAGATTCACTGTAGGTTAATAGTATGAAAATGCAATGCAATTAACTGTCCCCCAAGCCTGTCTACATTCTACAGGTGACAGGGCCTTCTCCTGTTATGCCCCCAAGCTCTGGAACTCTCTGCCCAAGGATATCAGAGTCACCTTCTCTAAACTCCTTCAAATCCAGACTCAAAACCTTCTTCTTTAGAAGAACCTTACTTAACTGGTTCCATTCTTTACCCTTCTGCTCCTACTATACTTATTACCACCATCCACAGTCTCCTCTGTGTATTGTAATTGTGTTTTATCTTGTGTATTATTTTTCATTTATTGTAGTTGTCATTCTGTAAAGCACTTTGAGAAGCTACCTTTAAAGGTGCTATAAAAATAAATTTTATTATTATTATGTTATTAAACCCAGTAGTTTGTAGAGTTAAGATATAAAAAGGTTCTGTGAGAAAGCAGTGACTGTAAGGTGCTTAACAGAAACAATTCAATATGTAACCTCATTAGGTAATAATTTGTTAGCTATACTGTCTCATTTTTTGCACGGAAGATAACTTTATTGGCAAAATATTTTATTTTTTCAAGTTTACTGTAGTAAACACTGAGATGACAATTCATTACTCACAAGATAATCATTGGAGATTGGAGTCTTATAAAACAATTGAGCTATGGTTGGTCAGTAAACTATACTAATTTTATTTCCTTGCTTTTGTGTTTTATGTTTAAATGGAGGATTTATATTAACAGTATGACTTCATGAAAACCTAAAAGGTACTATTTGGCTTGTAGGTGGTTATTCTGGGATGTGTCCAATGTAAATGCTAGCTCCCTAAGTAGTACATTGACCCCATTGAGAAAGTCCTGAATGGCCACATTATTCACACTTGAATAATGACTATTGAATATCGGCAATGACTGTTTTACACAGTTATCATTTTCATATGCTGCTAAAATCAGATTCTTAGAATATGTTACTTTCCATTATGTAAAAATGGTTTTGTATATTTTTAGGTTCTAAAATGTACAGCTTTGACCTTGGAATTCCAATTACTAAAATTATAAAAAACAAAGAAAAATCTTTTTTTTTCAGACAGTTAATTCCAGCAATCTGCCTTTCATGTGGGACGGATACAGGTCCACATGTATTCTGCAGTCTTGGAAGATGTTGTTCAGGAGGCAGACAAGCTGAGTCACCTCACTTTAAGAGTGAAAATGTAGAAGCTGGGGGGATACGTATTAATCCCATGAAGGCCACTGGAATAATTAATAAATTCGAGAAATCTCATGGAGCTCAAATGTTCTTTCTTGCTTGCATTTTGCTTTCTCCACGGTAGTTTTTAAATACTGACACAAGGGGGTGATATTTTACTTTGGGCTTACAGTACTGACATTGAACCCCTCAGAAAAAAAACACATGATTAAAGAGTTTAGCATTATCTCAATGAATAATTGAGAAATGTTTTAGAATTTGAGGCAGCAGAGCCATTTGTCTTAGAATTGTACATTTCAGATTAAAGCCCTTGCACACAGCAACCTTTGAAGCCTAAAGGAAAAGGAAGGGTTTTCACTGAAGGAAACACCTGTACATAAGAAAAGTCCTGTTCTAACAGTGGCAGCAGAATTTTAAGTGGGCCCATTACAAATGTTGTTACTCCTCAGTCAGCACTGAAGAGACAATGAAATCCATCCAGCAAATAAACCTGTGAATTACTTAATTCCATGTATTGTTTTCTAGGAAAATCACACGCCATATTCAAATCAGATTTTGCAACACAAAATTCAGCATTATCCGCATCAGTGACCTAGGTGGGAATCTAGAAGGTGCTCTGTAATGCTTTTCTTCAGCATACAACATGTGTCCTTTTGTACCACAGTCCAATGGAAGATTGCTTTGTTCAAATGAACATACTGTATTCTGACTAACTGTACATCTGGACTTACACAGAGGTTAGCTGCCATTCAGCACTCTAAAAACAGCAGAAATTGGACAGGTACTTATGCTCATGACGTGTTAAATAATTGGGATTGAATCGCTGTGTTTAATGTACATTAATATATTTTTATCAGCTATACATTACTGGACATTGTAGGACACTTTTAGTGTTTGCTATTTGTAAAGGAATTCAAACTGAACTCAACAGGGGCACTTCACTAATGTATGTTACGTTATTCCAAAAATACCATATTTCTTTTTCTTCTAATTATATACGACTGAATATTTTAGCAAATAGTTTTCATGAAAGGTGCAAAACCATGAATACAGTAAAAAAGACAGGAAGTCCATGTAGTGAAGGATCAGACTATCAACAAAGGTTAATTAAAACCATTAGCTACTTAAACACAAAAGGCAGTTCCAGAGAGCAAAAGAAAAAAGATACCAGACTGGTAAAGTATGACATAATTCAATTAAGTAATATAAGTTAATTCCTGAAACATGTTTTAAAATGTAATTAGTTGGACAATTAGAAACATAAAATCAGCAATTAAAACAAAATATGTATATCAAAATGACATCAAGTCTACAAGTCTTGAAATTAAAACATAAACCAAATAATTAATTCAGATGAATTACAGTAGGCCCTCAACCCTGTATTGAATAAAGGGATTAGAAAATGGATTGATGGAACTCTGTAAGGCAAAAGATGAATGATTCATTCTTTAAAGAAGAATGAATTACAGATTCAATTGCGGAGGTAACTGATTTAGCTCAGCTTTTAACCTTAATTTATTTGAACTCAGATCAGAAACATGTCATTTTAAATTACAAAAGCAACATATTGTGATGAAGCATATTGAATATGGATCATGGAAGGAACAGTACGTGATGATTCTATAAGAATCTCACGTCAAGTTTGTAATCACTACAATGCAAGTAAAAAGTAATGTGTGGTTGTGGTACTTGAAGTCTTCAAACAAATATTTAAATTATTGATAAAGAAGTGATATACAGTAGCAGAAGGAAAGAACCGAGGTTGTGTATGTAGGTACACATGTGTGCCCACAACAGAAAAGAAAGAAGACCTTGCAGAAAGAAAGAGTTTAAATTTGATCCAGTGCAAACACCTGCACTTTAATTGTAAAAGTCAGAAAGAGTATGAGAAAATATGAACTGTCACATGAAAAAATAACTGTTGATAAGTGAAAATATGACTTAAGTCAAAATCCTCCCAGCCGCTGTAGATTGAACTGTTTCCAGACCATTAGCTGGTAGGAATGACAGTGAGTAATGCCGGATAACTCTTATCATAGTTATCTGTGTATCAAGGCGGGGAACCCTTAGTGTTTATCTTCCACAAATGCGTGATAAACTTTAATTGAATGATTCTCAAATCACAATGTAGGTGCACTCTTAATTAGTCATTTACCTTTTGGATTTAGACATTTCTAAAGGAATTTCACTTAGTTGGTACCATCCTTGTCATACTCAACAGGTGTTTTTACATTAATTTGAGTTTTTGAGTTTTTTACATTAATATCATCATTGGCTACATATAAATGTAATATTCCTGAAAAGAAAACCCTGAAGTTCCTATGCCATGCATTACCTTATTCATCTTTTATGTGACACTTAATTTGTTTATTTATATTTATTTGATCATATTTACTTGGGATAATCACAGTACCATCTATTTCTTGTAGAGCAGATGACACCCCTTAAATGAGACACCAGTCCACCACACAGATTAGCCTCAGCAATGCTGGTCCCCACTTACACTGTGTGGACAAGAGTAAAGTACCTCTCTCAAGGTGCAATGTCTTGTAGCGGGGACTTGAACCTCTAACCTGTCAGTTATGAAACCAAAGGCTTAGGGACTGCTCTATATCATCTCCATTTCAAGGTAGATAGACAGGTAAAGAGAATTCCACATTTTTAATGCATTCAAAAAACCTCTTTGAATAAATTCAAGCAGCAATTGGCTACATTTCACAAAATATTCTGCTCACAGTTTTTCAAACTCAGCACCCTATTCCTGTAGAAGTGACACATCAGTACACTTTTTCCACATAGTTTCATATTAAAAGAGTGGGCAATCATGTGCCTACCTTTTGAAGTGTTCCAAAAGAGAGTGACGGATCCCCTGTCAAGAAGGAAGGCTGAGATGCAGGTGAAGTCATGGCAGAACGTATGTGTCTCGCCTTTTTGTAACTTCCAGGTAATTTTAATGACCTCTCGATCACAGCTGACGTAAAGGTCTTGCTCTCTGGGCTTCTGAAGAGAATCGGTGTTTCCACTACTGTTGGTTTGTTGACCTCGACTTTCCACCAGACGCTTTCCTTCTTCTCGGGAGATGGGGGTGGTATCAGTTCTCTGGAAGAGTAGTCTCCATCTGCAGGAGGATGAGTGCTGGAGGAGTAAATATATTCAAAAGGCTCACCAGCTTCTTGTGACTGTACAATCTTTAGTTCTGAGCCCCGAGACTCATTCAGAGGCACTGTGGTATTGTCAGAACTCACTGCTGGGTTCAGGAAGTTTGTATTTCCAACACTGTCAGCATCTGAATGGAATGCAGAGATCTCACTCTGTGCTGGAGCTGCTTGCCTTTCTTTGCTCATTTCTGTAGGGTTACTGTTGCGTTTTGCCCAGATGGGAAACTGAAATGTTTTCTCCCCGTTCCTGCTGCCAGTGTCACCGTCTTGCCCACAGCAGTGACAATCTGATCTCTCCTTGCTCATGCAGGAGGTTGCTGGCGTCGTATGGTCACATGCCAAGGCTGATGCATTTCTTTTGAAACCTAAAGAAAGCTTTTCTTCAAAGCCAGCTGTGCAAGCCGTGTCAGCAGGGCGTTTTTGCCCAGATGCCTTAGTTGGTGACCGCAGTTGGATAAAGAGGAAGGAAGTCTTGACCTGATGATGATCAGCCATTTCCTCAACATTAGGTTATCTCTTGGACTGCTCTGGGGAGGGAGGTGGAGGACATCCAATTACAAATAGAGAAGTAAAACACTGATAGAAGTGATTGCCAAATCCATTATTGCTCCAATCCCTGCTGCCCTAAAAAAAAAAAAAACAGAAAGTCACATTTTAAACATTTACACAAAACCTCAATGAGAGCATTAGGTCTTTGATTTTGTGTTTTATTATGTTTGGTTTTGAAAGAGAAACACTTCCCAGAAGGTCAGTGTGTCTTGATATGTCACAAAAAATAAGATAATGTATCCGTGTCCATGGTCATCTCCCAAAGTTTGTGTCTCACAAATTCCCAGTACTTTTCTAATAGGGTTGTCTGACAGACATTCAGTAAGAAAATCAGATACTAATCTCACCTACTTAGACTCCCCTATGTATAAATATCTCGCCTCCATAAACTGACATGAACAGTTCTTTCCAGACCCTATGCGGACAACACAATCCGAAGTAGTGAGGAAACACTGGGGAAAAAGGTCATGCAGGAATACGGGGATGAAAACAGGGGGGCGTGTTCAAAGTGCGCTGGTGCATGGGGGAGGTGTGGCCGAGGCAAACAATCCAAAGAATAAATCCATAACCGAATCCAAAATAAGGGCAAAAGTCCATGGCCAGGTGATCCATCCAAGACAAGGGATTTAAAAACAGGAACTGGATCAGAACTGGCAAGGGGAACAGGAACAGACATAGAAACTTAAAAACATAATAGAGCCAGGCACAACCAGGTCCCGGGCTCGCGTGATATGGAAATCAGATGCAGAGCCCGGATTAATGTCAGCGCCTGGCTTTTAAGGGAAGCTGGAAGGGGACTAGAACAAGGAACAGGTGCGGGGAATGAGCCAAAAAAGAAAGAGCCGAAGCAACCTTAAGGGGGAGGGACTACAATCGTGACATAAACTTTCCTTTCACAACTCTCTCTCACACCCTTTTTGCCTCCCCGTCAACACCTTTGCAGCAGCTCCCTGACACATTCCTGGTGAAAATGAGGGGGGTTCAGTCAACCTCATCCTGATAGATAGACTACCAATGCCTTAGCTAGAAGAGTTGCACCAAACAACCTCCAATACATTTAATCTCTCTATCGCATTTATTAGGGTCTGACAAAACTACTGAAAAGAGTATACTAACTATAGAACCAAAGCAAGATCTTAACTTTGCGTGCCTGCTGAAATAAGTATGAATTACTTGAGGAACGTTATTTTTAAGTCTAATGTTTAAAGAATCAAGATCCAGGCAATGGTGGTAAAATACATTCAGTATATGATTCTAGTCCTATGGTGAACTGCAATTCAAAATGTATCACTTAGTTTTTTAATTCTGCTATTATAGGGGCTAAGGTATTGCGGAGCAAGTAAACTTACTTGTTCTGGGAAGCCATGTGAATTCACATAAGAGTAGTGCATAAAGATTATGTATGGGTTAATGTGTGATTTTGTGTGATGTTATATCTATTTTAATGTAAAGTTAATGTACTGTTTGAATTATTTCTATGTATGTAAAGCATAGCTGATTGGATGCAAAACAAATTTCTGAGAAATTAGACAAAAAAGTATTATCATATCGTATTGTTTTGTTCCTCTAGGAGAGGAGACTCAAATGTGTGCATTTACTTAACCTGTGTTTGAGGATTTGGAGGTATTAATTACAAAGCCGCTAGTTAGCTAAACCACTGGAAAGCTGTCTAACATTTGACAGTAGTGCTCATGATGAACAAAACTGAGGTGCTGAAACACTTTTTGGATCTGTCTGCCAAGAAAGCTTGGAACTATCCCTCATACAGTAAAGCCTTGGTAACAAGGCAGCAACTCCAATTGCCTCCACTTTCAGACATTAGTCTTTATAGCTGGATTCAGGATCCATTGGTAGATTCTCATACATTGCTTAGAATTTTGTTTTTTTCCCTGACACCCTCTACATATAAAATCTGTCCTGCCATGTGTCCTGAAATTGCAAAGATATTTGTCTTTAAAGCTTCCTGTCTGAATAGCAGATATTTGTGACAATTATCACTGTCTTAAGGCAGTGTAGCGCAACTACAAATATAGCTGTGAGTTTCAACTTCCGCTCAAGCTGAATAAGTCCCTTCACATCACTTTCAATAACCTCTCGTCCAATTCAGGGTCCCACCGGCGCGTAGGCTAGCCTGGGAAACAATGGGCATGAGGTGGGGTACACCCTGGATGGGATGCCAGTCTGTTGTAGGTCCTGAACAGACACCAACATGCAGACACTAACACGTGTGGGGAGGAAACCGGAACACTCAGAGGAAACCCATGTGAACAAGAAGAGACCACACAAACTCCACACAGGGAGCATCCCAGAAATTGAACTCGGGGCCCTAACGCCATGGGGAACGCCAGTGCTAACCATTGTGCCACCATGCAGCCAACTGAACAAATACATTATCTGAAAATAATATGTATATATTAACCTGACTGCTTGTGGGCCTTGGGCACAGGAACCTTCAGTCTGTATTTGTTGTCCGTGAGAGTTTTCTGCAGGGGCTCTGGGTTTCTTTCATCACCCAAGGATATACTGATAAGGTGTCTCTAAATTGTCCATTTGTGTTTATGTGTTTTCCCTGTGGTTCTAAGATAGATTTAAGATTTTCTGCACCCCTGGAGCAGCTGGGGTTAAGGGCATTGCTCAGGGGCCCAACGGAGAAGGGTTCCTCTGCCAGCCGTGGGATACAAACTAGCAACCTTCCAGCCACAGATGCAGATCCTTAGCCACAGTGCCAAAACTTCTTACCAGGAATATATTGTTGTAGTATAAAAATATTTGGAATTTCAAAATAGAACATATTTGCCCAGGGCTGAAGATTTTGGAAAATTTCCCTCCGATGACTACAAAATATTAACTAGATGTTTTACTACTCAAATTCTATAAACAAATTAAAAGTAAGGGGATATTATATTAAAATTTGAAAGTGACCAATTCTTGAACAGCAAAGGCTATGACTGAATTGATTATTCAAAATTCTCAAACAAATAGAACGTCAATCCAGTGTACATCTTCAGAATCAACAGAGGAGCAAGATCCAGGATACACACAAATGGAAACTAATGGGAAAGTACATTTGAAACAACTTTTGAGAACAGGAGGCATTTCTTCATACAAAGGGAACATGTCATCAATCATGTAGTTGAAGCCAATATCCTTAGATACGCTACTAAGAACTAAACAATCTAGATAGACCTAGTGGCCTCTTATAAATAGCATACTTTCGAATTGAGGGAAAAGGAGAACTTAAGAATTACAGAAACTTTTAAATGCTGAAAAATGTTACATTATTGCTAAATTTGCAAGATCATCTTATGAGAAACGGGAACGATTTCTCATTTCATAGCCTGGCCCAAGGTATCCAGCAATCTAGCAAATCTACAGGGGTATCAACCAACTGTTCTGATCTATAAATTGTATCATCTCTCCCAGACAGCACTAGAAGAAGAGTTAAAAGGTTTCCCCATGCTTACAGTGTGTGAAACATAAAAAAATATATTCAGGCAAGAGGAACCTTTAATACATACCACACTTAAGTGTTCTTGTGGAAGAAAAGGGAGACTGAAGTTCAATATAGTTCTTGATATATGGTATTGCTTTGCCAGTTAAGTCATTACTTTGCCATTGTAGCCTTTAGGTCAGTCTGGCACTGATCTTAAAGTTTTCTAGCTGAGAAATTAGTGGGTGCAGTGAGCCAGATCAATCCATAGTCCCATTATCACACTGGAGCCCTGGTCTAAGGTAGTGCCTAGAGTTATCTGATGAGCGATTTATTAAATTATGTGACACATCAATGTAAAAAAAAATGTATTTTAATCTAAATTAGAATTCTACATGCACATTATTTATCAATGGATTAGACATCATAACCTTGTGATTTGTATCATTCTTATACATCATCCTGAATGTGTTTAATTGGCTGGAGTCTGCTAGAACGTTGTCTTTTATATCTTCTAAGGGACAAACCCCTGCTGTTGTTTCTTCCACAGCTGGAAAAGGCTGTTGCTAAATACTGCTTAACAAAAGGTTATATAATTGTCACCTGCTTCACAACATAGAAGTTTTACTTTAACAGCGCGTACCCTAGGATACATGGTTAAATAATTGATTGAATTAAATTCTTAGTGACTCTTCCTACTTCCTGATATGTGTTTACATTTCTAATAGTGTAAACTTTGAGGAACTAAACTGGCAAAAAATGCTGCTTCACTAAATCTATTTTTTTCTGTTCGCATTTTGGTGCGACATCTCCAGCAACTGGGAATTCCAAACTTAGAGAAGAGAATCATTTATGTATAGCTGTTCTCGTTTTAAAATAACTCATTCATTTTAAAAATTAACTCATAAGATATGTGTACATCTTAGTGGATTTCTTGTTTCCCTGTTGCTTTGAAGCACCAAAATACAAGCATATTCATGCTGTCTCATTATACTGCAAAAGCAATTATATCAGATACAATACCAATACAACACCAGTATCAATACCAATACCAATACAAGGACAGAAAGAGTAGCTGACCACTCGTGGCAGTTGCACTATAAAATTAACAAGTTAACAAGTTAGTAATAGATTGCTTGTACACAGAACAACATTTTAACCTTCTGTATATATTGATGTCTGCTACATTCAAAACTAGAAAGGGTGGCTATTTATGCTATTTATGCTAGCTACTAGGTATTAGTGCTGCCTGCTCTTCTTCTTTTTGTTATTAACCTTCTCTTTTGTGCTTCATTGGTTTAGTTCAGTGATCCAGAACCTTTTTGTACCAGGAACCAGCTCTCTTAGATCCTCTATATTGGAGGACTGATTAGGCCAAAAACAAGGCAATGGGATAGAATCTATTGAATTTGCCTATTGTAACTGTGGTTCTCCGGCTATGTCTGTAAAAACCAGTAGGAACTGGTCCTCGGGTCAAGGGGCTCAAAAAACGTGGGTCTAGTTAACATGAAAACTTGTGTTAGAAGCAAGAAGAAGATTTTGTAGCTACTGTGCCTTCAATACAGTACATCTTCAAAATATATAATCTTAATGTTCCACTTTCAGTGCATTTAATGTGAGTTCAGAGAGTTTATTAGCAACCAGTATTCTGTTGCACACTAAACTGAAAACAAGAAAACCTGAGTAGCTGTAGTCAAAACAGAAGAATTCAATAGTACTGTTCCATCTCGACACAAAGTAATCCAACTCCTCCAGCTTATGCAATGGCACCCCTATTTTTTACCACCCTGGGGGTTGGGGCAGAAACAGAGCGACCTAGGGGTTGACTGCTGGTGGGAGTCAGCAAGTCAGCTCCCACTAAGAGGGTTTCAGAAGTGTCAGATTGTCATATTGTTACCAGTTTATATAAAGCAATGCATATGAGCCCCAGATTGTCACTCCTTCAACACGCAATCTTATCAAAACCCCTCAAAGACAAGCATGAACATGTCCAGAAGAGCTAAATTAGATCTCATTTACATTACCTAAACTAGAACAGCCCTACAAACCTCCGGAAGTGAAGTATTATGTCCCTGGTCTACAGTATGGACTACACCCTGAATAAAATCAGTAGCTGCAATAATAATCATTACAAGTAAATTCCAAGTTAATTCCATGCTATAGAATAGAAAATAGAAACAATGTTTCGGCTCTAGGGCCTTCTTCAGGTAATAAATATTATACCACCTTGGGAAGATATATTATCTATAAACGTTTTGTAAACACCCTAGAATTTTTTTGAACATTCAGTTATCAGTTGAAATACCTTGATTACAATACCTTTGACTTCAGTATGAATATGCTGATGATGGTCAAGGCTCAGTTACTGTGGTGTTCCTACAGCACAGCATCACTTGAAACATAGAAGGCCCTAGTAACGGATTCCCAGGCCAACATGAACTTCTCTCAAGTGCTGCCACAATCACACAACAGAACTTAAAAGAACCTCAGCTGTGTGTCATGTATGATATTAAGATCCCAGAAAAAAGGAGGTTTGCTTAAGCAAGTTAAAATGACTGTAAACATTTTGATTAGATAAATACTTACAAGCCCTGCTAAAAATTTTAACTGCCAAGTCAATTTGGGGCCGTTTGGTTGAAACTGAACCAAGAGGAAATGATGCAATACTGTATGAACAGCCATACAGTCTTTTGTTCCGTTTTGATCACCTTTACCTCATTGATCATTTGAACTCATAAAAATAGCAGCAACGACTGTTTCACTATGAACAAAGCATTGTCTTAGCAGTCTAACCACGTGGGCCTCAAACACGGAGAGGAAAGCAGCTGTGACTGCAATAAATTAGACCACCCCTCTACTAAGAGTTAAATAGATTTGTTTCCAGTGAAACCAAAGTAAAGAGCTGGCTTTTAAAAATTAACAGGAAAAATCATTCATAACTTCATATACCCCGTCCAATAATTTAGGAACATTCAAAAGAAACTGAATTTCAAATATGTTAGTTTAACTATTCTGAAAATTAGGTGTGTATCATTTTCGTCCTATTTTCTTTTCTTTTCTTTTAAAATAACAACGTGAGGTCAAAGGCCTTTTCAATGCCACCTCACATATTTGACTCCAGCTGTACTGAAACGATGATCCAAAGACATGAGGCAGTTATACACAGGCGCACAGCCAAGTTTTCTCTATTGTGAGTAAAACAAACTGTGTGGGCACTATTTTCACAGTCCTGCCTCCACCATGTGGCTCTGTCCCAGCTCTCTGCAGTGCGTCTCTCTGAGACAACACACAGCTCACTGGAGCGATTTACGAGGGCAACAGAACATATCTTCAGAGGACAGACCAGCAGTTCTTCAATGTTTTCTTGTGGTCATAAGCATCCGTACACAGTGGGTCAATACTGAAGAAAATGATAGCTCATTCTTTAGGAAAAAGATGCGTCTTCATATACAGTATGTGTATACAGTATCTATTTCACTTGTGCACATGTAATTTCATGATTATTTCTATATTAATAGACAATGTATATGTATATAGTTTTTTTATAACTAGACATTTATAAATTACTGAAACTGGTTTTAAGATGCTATATTATTTAAAACATTCAACAGTATTTTGTTGTGTTAAAAATCTTTTATTTATTCATCTAAAGTCAATAAACTACAAAGCTTTGTAGACTGATTTACAAAAAAAGTAGGATTTCTTTAAGCACTTTTTAAATACAAACTAAAAACAAAGAAAATGAATATAAATCACAAATATGTGAAAGTCTAACAGAAGCAAAATATCTTCTGGAAATACAGAGCTGAATGGTAGAGATGCTAGAAATAACCACTGTTAGTCATTTGCCATTAATCTAGAAATTCAAGGCAAATTCTCACATGTACTGTATTACTATTTCATAAACAATACTGGATAAGCTGCCTCACAGTTAAATAGGTCCTAGAAAAAATATTTTCACAATAATAAAACCAACAAACCCTCTATACAGATATCCTGCAGAAAATGTATTTTGTTTATCATCAACTTTAGCTTAAATCTAGAAATCATGTACTGTATAACCTTACCAAACATAGTTAACCTATTAAGATCTTGAAGGTACAGGAAACTGGACTAAATTCAGAATGTATCTTGAAAATATTAAGCCACCAAAGTAACATTTGGTACCCACTCATAAATTGAGAGTGCATTAATAGAACAGGACAGAGAAAACAATACTTTAAGCTCTCAGTAATCACTGTGTAAAGTAGTTTACAGTACATGTAAAATAAAGTTAAAAACACACTTTTTCACAGAATAACCTGCCCTGCTTCAATTAATGTTTCCAGTACATAGCCAAGACTTAAAAAAGGATTTTGGAGCACATTGTGGGTATGATCTCAACAAGATGTCACAACGCAGACAGAACATTTATAACATTTAAGGTTTTCCAAACACAGACACTGGTCTCTACTTATAACAGTTCTCATTCACGTTTTTCATTTGTGCTACGCATGCCCTTAGCAAAAGCAACAGCTTGAAGGATAAAATAACTTACCAATCCTGAGAAAAAGGTTTTTAAAATCAAGCAAAATACAGGCACTTTAAAAGAGAGATGCATTTCTCAGACACTGCTCATAGTAGCTGGAATGACCACAGTCAAAACATACTGTAAATGTGCACACACACTCACAGACAGCGGTGCATTAGCTTGGCTTGTGAGTTCAATTAAATCAGAAAGCTCGACTGTCCCAGATGCTGCAGTCTCTGTGGTAGTCCTCCCTTGTTGGAAATCAGCAGATGAGTACAGGAGTCCCTATGGTTGTTCATTCTTCCCATTTTGCGAGTTCCTCACTCATTTCTTCCACATGTGCTCCAGCAGAGACTTTTCAGGCTTCCTCAAAGTGGGGGTCTCTCACACACAGAGACCACTCAGCCTGCATTGCGCTCAGGGCTAACAGGAAGAGATACCTTGCCTGGGAGTTTTCACATTCAAACACTCTCTGTCTCCTCTTACTTTGGCAGAAACCTAAAACCAGCAAAACACAGAAAAAAAAATAACATTCAATCTTTCACATAAAATCCTGTTCTGTACAATTTGTATTTATTTCAGTTTCCTTTCAAGACTTGCAATTAATATTGGGTTGTAGCAGGGTGCAGATGTTGCACTTAAGAATGTTGTGGGGTTTTCTTTGCTCTGCAAAAATTAATGTTAATCCTTTTAAAAAATGTGTTTAACTGTAGTTGCATTATCTGCAGCATTATTTAACTTATTCATTCATAGTCAGTCATCTTTAGAACACCATTCCTGAAAACACAAGGAAAAGTCTTCTCTCTAAACAGATTATATAAACCCCCTTTGCCTGTAATGAAATTTGTCTAGATTGATCACTAACAATCCAATTAAATGATAATATACTGTAAGTGATTCTCACTCTTTTAATTATTGTATAAATAATGTATAGCTTTGTACAGATTATGTGTCAGTTTTGCCAATGTAGCAAAATTCTTGTTTTTAATTAAAACATGATGTATGCAAAGCCACACACTCAAAAAGAAGAGTAAATTGACCATTTTGTAATCAACTAAGAAAAATAGTGGGTAATGATAATGAGGTACAATTGAGGTTCTGTGAAAATGTCTATATCATACATCTTTATCATTATTTGATAACAGCCGTTGTTATTTACAGGATTTTCAGATTGCTGAAATAAAAAATGTTTCATGTTGTTACAAAGAATGTGTGCACAATATATAATTATTAAATATGTGGAGCTTTTTTAATGATTATGCTGAGAATAAAAAAAAATGTTAGTGATCCATCATATTGAAGTGGCCAGTCATATTACTTAACGATTAAACTACTTAATAAGAACAAATATAATGCAGTACATTGGGTGCACTGTCACATATTGCATACTTAGGGCTATAAGGAAGCTTCTCCTTTTGATTCATGCATTTTGACATTTATTTGAAAAACTATTCTCTGTATGTGTCTCTGAGGTACTGCTCTCTGTTTTTAATTTTCAGTCTTCTTGTGAATGTTAATCCCCCAGGAATGAAGTTGTGTTAGTTTAATACAATACACGTAGTGTATTCACAGGAAGTGATCTAATGCTCATTGATGCAAAAGAGTCCAATCAAAACATTGTAGCGCTACAGTGTTGAAATACATCTACAAATATATATGTGTTGTATTAAATATTTTAGGATTCGTTATCTTCTCTTTTAGTATAGAGAATTCTAGAAAGTAAATAGCTGTCTGGATTTTTTGTAATATCTCAGCTCTCAAATGAAATGAAATTAAGATTTGTTTTCTACTTTCCAGCATCAAAACAATACAAAATAAGAAGAACATATAAGAACAGACCTTCTTTATGTTTTGAGGAAACGAATGCCTTTAGATTCTACATAGAATTTCCAAGTTCTTAGTGTCAGTACAGATACACAACATAACAAAAAATATATATATAGCTTATCAAATATAAGCTATTTGGGCTTGCATGGTTCTTCTTGTACTTTTTGAATGCTGATTGTCTTTTTAAGGTTTGGGGCCAGAATTTAAACATCCAAAATTGAGTCTACTCCATCTAAATCAACTGCATGACATTGTTAGCAAAGTATTGTAAAGTCAATAAATGTATCTATTAGCTGTTGAGATCTACCACAGAGATTAACCATTCAAATAAATAAAGGTTTTATTAAGCAAAAAATGAAAGCTGTTTAAACTGCAAATTAAACAATTTGATTTATTTCAAATTAACCTATAAAATGACTGCTACATACAGACTACAGACCTGCTGGAATTAATGAAAGTAAACACAGGAACATATAAGAAATTAAAAAAACAATCTTTAGAAAGTATTGTATTGACAGACAATCAGTATTCATCACATTCTAATTTTATTCACAACAATAGGAGCATTTGAAATGATTATTGTCATATATACAATATAAAATATATGTATGATATGGATTTGAACATTTTTTTAAATACAATTTTGAAATGTTTGTATACTATAAAGGAAGAGAACGTAACTCAGTATTAACTCACTATTTATTTATTGGTAACAAGGCAAGATCCAGAAATAAAGTATTTAGTTTACTAGACAATACAATATGCAATATTTCTGACAGATCACCCAGTGAGAGAAAAAAATACAACACTGTCTCTTTAAAGAAGTTTCCACTTAGTCAGCCTCAGTGCAAGCAATTATAAAAGATTTCTTTCCTGGGTTTGTTTCCCTAGAAACTATTCATCCATACTGGCAGCCCAGCTCACTTCAATTAACCATTCATTGCCCATCTGCAACACCGCTTCCTGTGAAACACTGAAACCCAGAGTCATTGAACACTTCTGATATGTGGTGTAAACATGCAAACACTTCATTCAAGAATAATATAAAGACATGTCTAAAAATGTGTTTTTGATTACATCAAGATGAATCTGACTATTTAACATCACTCTCATGAACAAATACATTACGTTCACATCAGCATTTCTTTAACCCACATCTCTGGCAAATGCATTTGCAGTGCGATCGAGTGTCAAACAGAGAGAGGTATAATTATTAACCAGTCAGTCTCTCCTCTTCCAATGACCATGTACTGTAGCTAAAATACATTATGACTGGCTTATAGAACATGAAATGTTAAATTGATCATTAGGTAAACCATATTTTAAGAAGCTTTAAAATAATAATACACTCATTTTAAGTGGAGCCTATCCTATACAGGTTCCCTGAACCTATGGTTGCTAGTCCATCACAAGGCAAACAGACATTAACATATACACACAAAACTCACACCAGGGCCAATTTTCCCAGTAGACCAATTAACCTACCACTATCTTTGGACTGTAGGAGGAAACCGGAGCACCTAGAGGAAACCCACACAAACACAGGGAGAACATTCAAACTCCACACAGACAGCACCCCAGGTCTGGAAATAAACTCAGGGACCAGCGCTACGAGGCAGCAATGCCAAGCCCTGCATCTAAGTGATACCCTCATAGAATAAAATAAAAGAATATCAGTTCAAAATATAAAGTATATACAGAAGCTAAAACGACAAAGCCGTATCAAAAGTGTGTTTTATGATTTAAAAGCACCCCTCTGTATGTGGCTGAGTTCCTGGTTTTTGGTGGTGTTTGTAGTTTCAGGTGTAAAGCAACAAGAAGCATCACCCACTATGATGAACAGTAGGGACACTACTGGAAAATAATCCAAAATCAGCTGAGCAAAGGTCACATAGAGGGGAGTAAACAGACAACACATTGGCTGGATGCTGGGATTTTAAAATCGGAGTAATGATTTTGCCTTATAGGAATGATATGTCAGGATTCTACCTACCAAATTCTGAATGTGTTTTAACTGGTTACATGTAGTTATGCAGATTTCAACAAGTAGGGCGCTGCAATAAACAATCCTTGAAAAGCCAAAAAACAGCTCAGGGTGGAATAAATATGCTGTCATTCTGCTCATGAGGTTCAGAGGATCAGATTTTTCATTTTGAGTTAAGCTCAAAAACAGTGCTATCAGAGTACAGAACCCCTTTTTATGTAATGGGAGAAATGTGTAGAAATGTGACAGTAATGTGACCTCAGTCTAATAACAATTAAGAAGCAAAAAGGTAAGTGTCATCCAAAATTGTGTCAGAAATGCAATCAATAAATACTGAAATAGCTACCTCTGTTTCAAGTATCAAACACGAAAAACAAAAATAAAAATAGCCCTAGGAGAGAGGGAGGTGTTTATTTGGCTTATGAACATGAGATTCTTATCGTAAAACATTTAGAATGATCATTCATAAATGTTGTATTTTAAGTAGAATTAAAATAATTAAAAGCAATGGAATCTAATCTTCAATCTGTCTCCTTGTTTCACTACATTCATTCACTGATTGTATCGGTGATGCAATCAATGTGCACCTTCCCTCCCCCAAAACAACACTAAATAAGCAAATACAGCAAATGGATTAGCGTTGTGCAAAAACTTGTCAAACTCACAGAAAATCTCTGTAAACTTTCTAGAGTATGAAAACAAGGTAATGGCCGTGGTTGCTCTGGAAACATAAAGTCAAGCCTATTTCTGCAAGTTCGAAATAGCAACGCAAGTGGGACATTTTCTGTGTTTATCGTTTGCTTACTGTTGAAATTTTAAAAATTTTCACCAACCAATTGTTTCAAATGCCTACTGTATCAACACTGTTTAATGTGTTATCTTAGCATAATAGTCCTATTGGATTGTGGAAACTTATAAGAAGGCAGGGTACTGTAGAACATGTTTAAAGCTGTCTGCTTCAGTGAAGAAATACACTTTTGTAAAATCCTTATCATAATAGCAATCGGCAGAGAGTTATGTGAAGTGGGAGGAAAGGAAAACGTTGGAAATATATGAGTGAATATAAATGTAGCTCTCCAGGGATTTAAAGCATTCCCTCTAAGGATACAGTCAATTAAACCTACAAATGGAAACAATTACCTACAAGCCCGTCACATTTGGTGGTAGTACAACATTTGTGTCATCGTCTGGAAACTGTCATTCTTATTTACGGAGCACCAAACAAAGAACCACAGAGAGTAAGGTGAAAATGCAGTCATATTTTTACATGGGTGTATATTTCGTAACTCCTACATCTATAAGCATAACAATTTCTAATGCAAAATTATAACTAGAGTCAATCTGCTTAAAAACCTGTGAAAGAAACAGGTTTGGAAAACTTATTAAACTAATCTTTGCTCTAACCTGCCAGTAAATAATAAACTTATTTTATATATAGGGCCTTCAAAGGTGGCTTTTCAAAGCACTTATAATATTCACAATATTTACAATGACAACGAC